AAACCTACCCCCACCCCCTGCCGTTAGCCCCAAACCTACCCCCAGCTCCCGCCGTAACCCCAAACCTACCCCACCCCCTGCCGTTAGCCCCAAACCTACCCCAGCTCCCGCCGTAACCCCAAACCTACCCCCAGTTCCTGTCGTAACCCCAAACCTACCCCCAGCTCCCGCCGTAACCCCAAACCTACCTCAGCTCCTGTCACTAACCTAAGCCTGTCCCCTGGTCCCACCCCGTCCTCCCCATTGATGGATGGGGCCATGCCTGGCTATTCGCCAAGAGGGTTGGTGGCACATCCCCCTGCTCGGGGTGCCCCGAAACCTCTGCCTGCCCGGAGCTGGGGCAGGACGACGGGGGCTGGATCCCTCGGCGAATCGCCTGGCTCTGTCTGCTCCCCCCCGAAGCGCCGGGGGTGGGGGGTCCCTGCACGGCCAGTGTTATGCTCAGTCTGCGTCCCGGGGCCGACGGTCCCAGAGGGCGGGATCCGGCTGAGACGCATCGAGCACCCACGAAAACCCCCCTCCCCAGAAGTCCCCGCTGTCAGCCCATGTGGTCGGCGGTCGGCGTTCCAGCGGCTTCCTGTCCACTCGTGAAAGCAGTGCGGTGGGGATCTTGGCAGATCCTAGCGGCCCCGGCCGAGACCCAGGGTTCCCCGTCGCGCCAGGTGCTGTACAGATCCCAGATAGGACATGTGCCCCCCTCACCGTGGTGCTGGGTGACCCAGTCAGCGTCGGTCAGCTGCACGGGGCTCCCCTCCCCCCACGGGGCCGGGCCCGTCGGCTCCCCTGGGGGCCAGGCCGGGGGCGGTGGGGGGGCGGTGACGTCAACGCCCCCAATGGCAGCACAGGTACGCCCTGACCTTTGACCTGTAGGTCTGCAGCCAAAAGTGGGGAAGGGGGGACACAGAGAAGAGTTGTGAGATCTTGCAAGGAAGGAGCATTAACAGAAAAGTGCCCCCCCACCTCCATGGGGGAGGGGCCAGCTGCAGGGTTCTCCCCACTCCTCACCGGGGGGGCAGCCACAGGGTCCCCCACCACCACCCAGGGGCCAGCCTAAGGGGTCCCCCCCCACTCCTCCCGGGGAGACAGCCGCAGGGTCCCCCTCACAGCTCCCTAGGGGCCAGCTGCAGCGTCCTCCCCACTCCTCCCCGGGGGGGCAGCCACAGGGTCCTGCCCCACAGCGCTCCAGGGGAGCCATTCACAGGGTCCCCCCCCACCCCTCACTGGGGGGGGCAGCCACAGGGTCCCCCCTCCCACAATATCCCAGGGGAGCCAGTCGCAGGCCCCACACACACCTCCCCGGGATCGTCCCCCCCACCTCTCCAGGGGTCCAGCCCCCCCCCCGGGGCCAGGCGGGGTC